TGTTGCTATGAATTTCAGCAATTGAACATCTAGGACAGAAAATTTTGTAAACCAATTGACCCGTAAGCCTTTAAGAGTGTTCATGTTTTTTGTCATTTTGATCCTTTGGTACGGACATCAAATTGGAAGTCTTGATGGTGCCAGTCAACACTTTGCAGTATCATATGCTCCAAGCAGCCTAAGAAATACACCTACCAGACATCCGTACAATCCCATTGACATCGGTACTTAAGATGCTAAAAACTTGAGTCCACCTTTGTTGACTTTGACTGTTGACTTTGATCATTCTACTTGAGTTGTAGTCAGCTGGGGTCATAAATGGATATTATAAATAACTCAAACTTTTATCTAAATATTTCATCATCCCAAATTAAAAGCTAAAAAAATCAAGAGTTACACAAAAAACAGCTAGACCACAAAGGCATGGCAGCAACATGAGCTCCACCACCATTGAATTGAAGTCAATACCAGTTAAGCATAACCTCTGCCCTTTCATTCCGCACCATATGTCGATTTGCTCTTGGGTGTAATGTGTTTTAGAAAGCATAAACTAAGCATTAAGTTTATAAAACTTACCAATTAGGAAACCCAAGAAACAAAGAAAATTCCACACCTAAATACATACAGAAAGATTATTATTCAAACTGTGCACATCGAAGTACCAAAAAGCTGCAAGTAAATCCCTTTAAACCCACCTTTTTCAATGAGAGAGTGGCAGCATAAGCTGGAAGACGATGAAGAAGGGGAGAGCAGAGCAATAGCCAATCGGCATCACTACTTCATTGTGTTGATGCTATGTATTACACAAAAGACGTCAGTGGTTTGAAGCAGCGAAGTTTGTAAAGATATAAGAATCATGTCATTTAAGTTTTCGTTGTCTAATGTCATAAGCAGTTTTCAAAATAATTGTGAAATTCTTTTACAACAACTTTAAAAGGTTTTCAATTCTCAAATTTTTGTTTGGCCCGATTTCTCATTCACTAATTCTGAAAATATATATAAATAAGCTTATCATGATAAATATCGCATGCTTTAAATTGGTTCGAACTGCTTTTTCTATTTGTCCAAAAAGAAAAGAAAAGAAAATGACTGATGCAGTTGAAGAAGCACATGATACACCATCCGAACAACTCTTATGATTTAACCTTTTTTTCTGTGCAGGTTCAAATTCAAAGGCTAAATATGAAATAGGTGCGTATATATATGTTAAACTGCAAATACCAGAAGTTTTCTTTTTTGTTCAAAGAAATGCCAGAAGTTTCAATCTTTGCTTTCTTTCACAAATCAATGAAATGAATAACTTAAAGAATTTTTCAATATAGGCATTTCGGCTGGTGTTTCGGGCATCTTCATAATCATTTTTTGCATTGTATGCATATCAAGGAAAAGAATATCAGGTTTCTTCAAGAAAGATATAGGGGATGAGTTTGATGTTGAGGCATTTATAAGGAACTATGGATCCCTTACTCCAAAACGGTATAGTTATGCAGATGTCAAGAAAATGACAGACTCATTCAAAGATAAAATAGGTAAAGGTGGATTTGGAACCGTGTACAAAGGCAGGCTGCCGGATGGCCTTGTCGTGGCTGTGAAAGTCCTAAGCGAGTCCAATGGTAATGCAGAAGACTTTATTAATGAAGTTGCTAGCATTGGTAGAACCTCCCATGTCAACATTGTCACTCTCTCTGGATTCTGTTATGAGAGGGACAAAAGAGCTTTGATTTATGAATTCATGCCCAATGGATCTTTAGATAAGTTCAGACATGAGCAAGGATCTGAAGCAAAATGTCCCTTGGAATGGAAAACACTATCTGAAATTGCTGTTGGCATTGCGCGAGGACTAGAATACTTACATCGTGGATGTAACACTAGAATTCTGCATTTAGACATCAAACCACAGAACATTCTTTTGGATAAAGATTTTTGCCCGAAAATCGCTGATTTCGGGCTTGCCAAACTATGCAAACCAAAGGAGAGTATTGTATCCATGATGGGGACAAGAGGAACTGCAGGGTACATTGCACCAGAAGTGTTTAGCCGGAACTTTGGAGGCGTATCTCACAAGTCTGATGTGTACAGCTACGGCATGTTGGTTCTTGAAATGGTTGGAGCCAGAAAGAATTTGGATTCGGAAGCGTCTCATACCAGTGAATTGTTTCCGCATTACGTTTATAAAGATCTAGAGCTAGACAATGATGAGAATGTTTTTGGGGCAATCACAGAGGAGGGAAAAGAAATAGCAAGAAAGATGGTAATAATAAGTATGTGGTGCATTCAGACAAATCCTTCCGATCGGCCATCAATGGGCAAAGTAGTAGAGATGTTGGAAGGACCTCTTCACACATTGCAAATTGCACCCAAGCCTTTCTTGTTTTCTCCTGCACAAGGCTCTATGATCACATCCCAACCAGCTGAAATAGATACTAAGGCAATTTTGTCTCATGAGCAGATCACTGGTAATTAGGAAATTCTAGCTGAATTATTGTAACATAGTTCCGTTATCGTAAATCAGACAGTTTTCATTATCCAAGTAAACTATATATTCTATGGCCTAACTTGGTTTCCATTGGGCTCAGATTTTTTCCAAGTTTGCTTCCATCCAGTGGTTCTGTCTTCTCGATGTGGTGCTCTGTTTTGCCTAGTAGTGCCTGCTATGTTTTGTGTTCTGCACTTTAGTTGATGTTATATATTTTTGTATATTCTTGTCTCCTGTCATTCTGAATGAAAATAAAACAAGCAAAGATTATTACTGTGAGTATAAATTTATATTGAATGTTTTGGATTTTTGTCATTCGACATGAAGCACACCCAAAAAAATGAAGGATCTAAAATTTGGGAAAACTCAAATTTGGACCCAAATATGGGTCCAAGTATTGTTTGGACCTAACACTATTCAATGGAGCCCACTGCACATCTCAAACAACCCCATGCGCAAAGATTCTAACGTGAGGCCCACCTCCAAATTTGCAGCTTGCTTTTTGTCTTCTCTTTGCGCCACTTGTCACTATCCCATGGAGTTGCCATTGGAATCCAACGGTTTCAAATGTTGCTGTTTTTTTTTGTATGTACATATAACTTAAATCAACAATGGGGATTAAATCTATGCTATTTTAACGGTAAAAAAAAGAGATCCAACGGCTGAAATTTAAATCCAACGGTCAAAATAATATTTTAAATTAATCCAAATCAAATCCAATCCCAAATCTCACTCCAAACTCTATAAATACTCACCCATTTCTCAATTAATCTACCAAAAACATTTTTTCTACTTCTCAATTTATTTTTCCTTTGTCAATTTCATCAATCTCTTCCATTCTCATACTTTTGATATCATTTCAAGCACAACATCATCTTCATTCTCATACTTTTGGAATAAAATTAAATTTATGGAATTTCAATTTTTTTTTAGGTCAAATTGTTCAAAAAATTAAATTATGATGTTATTTAAAAAGATTAAATGAAGAAAAGTTATCCATTAAAAAAAAAAAGACTTAAACCATTCTTAAACAATTTAATAAAGTTGCGGACTTAAAATTTGAATCCGGAGGGTTGGGAGAAAAAACGATTTGAGTCCGGGCAAAACCCAAATAGTTACTTTTTGGAGGGGGAAAATTTGAGTTTAGCCCCTCATGGGTTGGAGAAGGCCTTAGCAGCTCATATGTAATCAAGTATGAAAGCTGCAAACCACAGCTGTCTAACTCTTCCATCAGCCAACTCTTGTATCCAACCAAAGCCTTGCACCCTTCTTATTTCAATTATTAAAATAAAAATATTTTGTTACTCTTTTAAAAGTTTTTCTTTCTAAGTTGAGATATTGCCCTAAACACTATCAACCATTTTCTAGACCTCTTCTCTTAAACTAACAGTGGTATCAGAGCTTGTTCGATCAACCTTGGGCGTTGGTTCACTAGTCCTCCATCATGTCTACCACTAGCCAAAACTCTGACCCTCTTCCTATTTTCACGGGAGAAAACTATGACTTCTAGAGTATTAAAATGAAGACCTATTTTATGTTTCAAGATTTATGGGACATAGTTGATAATGGTTTCAATAATCCAGAAAATCCAATAGTGGAACAATTGAGGCAACTAAAGAAAGATCAACAAAAAGATGCAAAGGCCTTACATGCCATGCAACAAGCCTTGCATGATACGATTTTTCCAAGAATCATGGGAGCCACAACTGCAAGGGAAGCATGGAATACCTTAAAGGAGGAATTTCAAGGCAATGCCAAGGTACGTGCAGTTAAACTACAAATTTTGATAAGAGAGTTTGAAAACATTAAAATGAAGGATTCTGAGACCACACAAGACTATTATGCTAAAATAAAAATAATTATTAATCAATTGAGAGCCTATGGAGAAAATATTAATGATTCAAGAATTGTAGAAAAAAATATTTGTAAGTCTTCTTGATAAGTATGATCCTTTAGTTATTGCCATTGAACAGACAAAAGATTTAAGTAGTCTGTTAGTGACAGAACTAATGGGCTTTCTTGAAGCTTATGAGAAAAGACTGAGTAGGCAAAATGAAATTCAGTTGAAAGCGCCTCTTAGTCAAAACTAAATTTAAGGTCTTAGAAAACTAAAGAAAGGGAAAGGAAAATTGGAGAAATTTCTAGAAGAGAAGATTATAAATCCAATAAGAATTGGGGAAATAAAAAAGAAATAAAGGAAAGAAAAAACTAACCTCCCTGCGGGTTGTGTAAAAATACAAACCACCTAGAAAAATATTGTTGGTTCCATGTCAAGCCCAAATGTCGAAATTGTAAACAATTTGGGCATATAGAAAAAGACTGTTGAACCAAGAACTATCAAGCCAATTACTCAAAAAAAAGAGAGAAGAATGAGCATGTGTTTTATGCTCATCAAGCCACACCAGAAGGAACCAACAAGAAATGGTATATTGACAGCGGCTGTAGTAATCACATGACTGGAGATGAAAGCATCTTCTCCAACATAGACAAGTCCATAAAATCCCAAGTAAAACTGGGAAATGGAACACTGGTAGAGACAAAAGGAAAGGTACAATCTCTATCCAAACTAATAAAGGAACTAAATATATAAAAGATGTTCTACTGGTACCTAGCTTGGAGCATAATCTATTAAGTGTTGGGAAAATGATTGAAAATGGATACTCTCTGCACTTTTCTAGAGACTCTTGCACATTATTCGATAAAAGAAATAAAAATCACATAATAACAAAAGTAAGGATGGAAAATAGAAATTTTCCTATCCAATGGCAACTTGTAAAAGCCACAGCCATGAAAGCAGAAGTAGAAGATTCATGGTTATGGCATAAAAGATTTGGCCACTTTAATTTTTATGCACTAAAAACTCTTTATCAAAAGAATATGATAAGAGACCTTCCAAACATAAAAGAGATCCATGATGTCTGTGAAGGTTGCCAACTTGGCAAACAACATCGACAAGCATTTCCATATGGAAAGGCTTGGAGAGCTAAGGCCTTGTTGGAACTTGTTCACACAGATGTTTGTGGACCCATGATGAGGACTCCATCTCTTCATAGCAACATGTACTTTATCCTGTTTATAGATGACTATACAAGTACATAGCAGTAGCAAGTTCAGCATGTCAAGCTATTTGGCTCAAAAGAATATTTGAAGATATGGGAGAGTGCCAAACAGAAACAGCTGAAATACTTTGCGACAACAAGTCTGCTATAGCAATGGCGAAGAATCCAGTATTCCACAGCAGGACAAAGCATATCGCCATCTAGCATCACTTCTTATGAGAAGTCTCAGCAAACAAAGAAATTGAGCTCAAGTATTGTAAGACAGAGGAGCAGAGTGCAGACATCCTCACTAAGGCACTTCCAAGACCAAAATTTGAACTGCTACGAAGCATGCTCGGAGTAACACAAATGTGCATTAAAAAGAAGTGTTAAAAAGTAACGCACACTTGTACTATAAAGGAAAATCTTGAATAATTTAGAAAAATCTAGAAAGTTTTAGAAAAAGTAGAGATGTTAGAAATATCAATGTAATCTAGAATAATGAGAAAAATTGTGGCTAAAAACAACTTTGGAAAAGCCAAACCAACTTTTCCAAAGCATGCTGCCGACATAGCACTCCTCTATATATATATATGCTATTAGGAGCCCATATGTAATCAAGTAAGAAAGCTGCAAGCCACAGCTGTGTAACTCTTCCATCAGCCAACTCTTGTATCCAACCAACTCTAAAGCCTTGTACTCTTCTTATTTCAATTAATAAAATAAGAATATTTTGTTACTCTTTTAAAAGTTTTCCTTTCTAAGTTTAAGTTATTGTCCTAAACACTATCAATCATTTTCTAAACCCATTCTCTCTTAAACTAACACAAAATAACTGTAGTTAAATACCGTGATCCTTCTAGAGAAAAGGATTTATCTTAGCTTCTGTTAGTCTTCTCCGTTGCAGGTTCCATTCGAAACTAACTGAAAGAAGATTTCAAAGTCATTTCCATGGGAAAAGGAAGCCATTCAATTCAAACATGTTTGTCTCAAACTAACAAGAAAAAAAAAAAAGTACATATACATGGGAAAACGAAGGGATTCAATTCATTTCCAGACATCACTGTAGAGGGAATTTCTACACAAATGACAAAGTGCTTATTTGTATTTCCACACTAGATTTTTTTAACAAAATATTGGAAAAAAGTGAAAGCCATGGCATTTAAAAGTGAAGAGATTGGAAAAATGGAACATAATCAAAGGTCACTATCGATTGAGTATGAGGCTTTAGAGGCTAACAATGTTGGGGTTGAAGTTATTATCAAACTGGAGTTCGTGAAGAGAAGAGGAAAATAATGTCCTTATGATTTCCTTGTTTTTTTTCTTTTCACTGGCTGGAAAACAATGTCAATGGCAAGATAGATGGCAAATTGTTAACTTTATTTTCTCGGCACTTCATTAGATAAACTTCAACGGTATAATCAAAGACATCAACAAGACATCTAAAATACTAATCCCAAGAGGGCAAGAAACTAACATGTTAAAAGCAAAACTAATGCGGACAAATATTTGACATAAACCTTAATTTAATGTTTATGTGACTGACAGGACCAATTATTCAGCTGAAGTTTCAGAATAATAATATGGGCTACAGGTATAATGTTATCATCTTACGAAATCCGCCTTCCTGCATTAATTTTTCCTTTTCCTAGCACATATCTTCCGAAAATATAAACCTGTTTTTTGTTTATTGTGTCTTTTTTTAAGAAAAGAAAGCAACTAATGCACTACTCTTTCATTACAGTTTACTTCCGTAATAAAATTGCTGTACCCTTCTTCTATAAGATGATTTTGAGGAGGCAAACTGAGGTGAATCAAAATGTTGAGGAGTTTATTAGGAATTAATCATGATTCACTAGGTTCTATTATGAGAGGACTAAAAAAGCATTGATCTACGATTTCATGCCTAACGGATCTTTGGATAAGTTCATATATATATATATGTGTGTGTGTGTATCTTCTCTGGGAGCAAATCATCACTTAGAATGGAGAACTTTGTATGAAGTTGCAATTGGAATTGCTCGATTGAGGACTAGAG